GTTGTTATCGTACGAGGCACCTCGTTGAAGTCAGTATGGTTGGCAACCAATTCGCTATGTCACTGGTGAAACAGAGCACTGCGATACTGTGTGATAAAATCCATTAATGTGTCCATCTTATTGACATATCTTTTGAAAAACGTATGGTTGCTTTCTGATCGTTGACTGCTTGACATCCCGGCAGAGAATATATGCTTCACGTACGCAGGTACCCAACGACTTCGTATTTAATACATGTTTGCAAGCCACTCATTATCGCCTAAATCAGTAGTTGCCATCACATCAGCCCAACAAGATTCGAACTCCTCTGGGGACTCCGACTACTTAATGATACTCACCAGGCCGTGGTATAGTTCCTTATACAGCACGGGACTCATCTTCTCTGAGAACTTGTTTAGAATATGCCATAGACAGGACCTATGCATTTTGTTAGGAAAAATCTCACCAACTGCTCTAGGAATGGCAGGGTCTTGATCAGTAATAATCACCGCGGGGGGCCATTGGGTAGGCATTGCTTCGACGAACTTCAAAAACAACCAAATAAATGAATCGATCTTTTCATCACTCAATAAGCTACATGCGAAAATAGTAGTTTGCTGATGGTGATTTACTACAACGAATGGTGCGAACACCATCGAATATTTGTTTGTGTTATATGTTGTGTCGAAAACTACAGCATCTCCAAAGTAAACATAAGAACTCATGGACTCTGCATCAGCCCAAAAACAACGAGCGAACACACCATCCTCATCAGTCTCATAGGCATAGTAGAAGCTTGGACTCATTCTTTTTTCCAACTCGAAATGCGTAATCATTGTTTCTGCATCGCGTCCAATGACTTCTCGCCGCCGATCTCGTCGATTGTTCCTGATATCTTGCTCATTACAGCCCAATGAAGAAGGCCCACCAGCATCTATCTCCTTAAGTCTGATCTGTTGACAGCTAGGAATATTGGCCTGTGTAAATTGGTCAACAAGCGCTTTTTTGGTTGCAGAAACATATCGATGTGAGCGTAGTAGGTGCGTTTTGCTTGGTGTAGATAGTGCATGATTATGCCCTTCGACAAAATGGCTTACAACCCACATGGAAATGGAAGTTGTCTGATGTTTTATCACTATTAACTTCGCATAACATCCACAACGTAAGTTCCCACGCTTTCGTTCACCAGAACGGGCCACCAAATTTTTGAGTTTCACCTGGTAGGACTCATCTTTTTAACCATGTTTAAAGCAAACATACGACTTCCAGACAAGCTCATTTGTCTGTTAATTCTTTCAGCTACTACCAATATGTATGCTAAAACCAGCTACTTTCGCATACTCATTGTAAAAATTATACACATCATCAAGCGTTTGAATTCTTGCCCGAATATTGGGATCTCACCAACATTCACTTGTGGAATAAATACATTGTTATCCCCTTCCATTCCTAAAAATTAATATGAAAAATTATTTAGTTTGTGAAATAATTTAAACATTGACATGTTTAAAACTTACAGCAAATGTAACAAAAATAAAATTAAAACCATGTTATNCAGAAAATTCAACAGAAAGATATAAACAAATCTCAGAAAATAATTGTGAAATGTGAAAACCCATGTTTTATAGACACAAACACGAGAAAAAAGATTAAAAAAAAACTAAAAAAAAAAAAACTAAAAAAAAAATGTATGGATACATGCACACGCAAGGCTTGCCACAGCAGGCCTTGCGTGTTTGCATGGCCAAATTAATTAACTTTGCCTTGCCTTTTGGCAAGGCAAAGCAAAAAATTAAAAAAAAATAAAAAACTAATTGCGGCTGACAACATAAATTTTACAAGGCAAAGCGCATAATGTTCTCCTGCGCGTGGCGCGCAGGAGAACGGAACTGTTGATGTGAATACTAAATATGTTTAGAAATTTCCAGTTTGTTGCAGGGAAATTCAATACTTTTAAGTCACTCAATTAAGAAATATTATGTGGAAAATAGGACCTCATTGTTGTGCTTTCAAACCAAGCATTTCCAACTATGTTCCTAATTACATTTTACAATCAACAAACACTGTAATTAACAAATATTTTTCCAATTTTTTTAGAATTTTTTTTTCCTTCTATTGTTCTATAGCTTAACTATCAATTATGCATTCTATGCACATGTCGATATAATCATATAAATGAATTAAGCATGTGTTTGATTCTCATTATTTCCTTCTAACACTTTTTGGACAATATAGTTCCAAGGACAGTTTACATATTAGCCCGACTTGTAATCTGCTCTTAAATCTGTTCCTATATAGTTCAACGTGCTTTAGACAAGAAGAATACAGACCGTTTTGTTCATGAAAATGACATGTCTTAATTTTGTGAAATGTATTATGAATGCATGCGAAGACGTGCTATATTACTTTAGCCTACGTTTGGTTCTCTTTTTTTTTTCAAAACATATTCTCTATCATAATGAAGAATCAACTATATATAGGGAACAAATAGGGGACGTCCAAATCCTAATAGTAAAGTTGTAGTTGAAATAGAATGCAAGAAACATAATAGACGAGGAAAAATCGTGTAGGGGAAACCATAGCAGGTCAACGCCGCAACGTCAGACCAAAATTTCATTGGCATCACGACGATGCCCACTCTTTGGTAATTTACTTCAAATTTTGATTTTCTTCATCCCAATGTCTATTCAAATCCAACACAAATTTCAACTTTTAATTGAGTTTTAAAGTAGAACTTCAACTAGAATTCGCCAAGTAAACTTGAATAGGATTAGCATTTCAAATAAAATTCTTCTTAATGTGTACTTTAATTAGAACTCTCAATTATTTTCAACAAAAATTTCGGATCATGCCCAAATTCTAACATGAGGTGCATTGAGTATTTTTACACCCTTCTAACAAAATATTTTGATGGAAATCAAGATAAGATACATGCAAATTAATATAACGTTGATGATAAGAATATAATTTGATAAAAGTTGAGAATGTAAGTGCAAACACTACAACATTTTATAATATTTAAATATAGCATTCTTGTTAGTCATATTATAAAATAAATTTTTTTTTCTAAACACAATATAATAGCATGAGGAAATTACAGCCAGCCAGGCATTTAAAATACCATTTTCACAAATTAGCTCACAAATTTAACATTTCAAAAATTAGGTTTTTTATATTTAATTTAATATTAATTATATAATTTTCATCCCAATTAAAATAACCTGAATCAACCCTAGAATTCATTCCACACCTTCCCATCCTCTCCCCTCCATCCGATTCTCTCCTCCCCGTTTCTCTCAGAAACCGCCGCCGCTGACGGTTCTTCCACCCGTCGGCGAAATAAGGGATCTTGCCTATCTGCTCATGGTCATCGATTTTCTCTCTCCACTCTCATCTCCGCTCCCGTCTATCTACTCAAAAGCCGCCGCCGCAACGACCTCTGACGATTCTTCCCTTCGCAATGACCGCTCCCTCTCTAGTCTTCACTTTCCTCTCGTCTCTTTTCTTCTGGACTCCACCACCAATGCTGCAGTCCGTCTATCTCAGCCGTTTCTTTTTTTTTTTTGTAGCGCGATGGTTGCGGTGTTAGGATGTAGCAGTGGCTGGGGGTGTGTGCGTGCATGCGCTTGTTGCGTTGGTCGGGTGTGTGCGTGTAGGTGCGACGATTTTTGGGGTTGGGTGTGTGGGTGCGGCAGATCTATTTTTGGTGGAGGTGCGGCGGCGGGTGCAGCGGTTGTGGGAGGAGCATATCTGTTTGGGTGGCGACAGGTGCGGTTCGTTGTGTGTGTTATGGGTGCAGTTAGGTTTGTTCTGGTGAACATAAACGGTGTGGTGTCGTGGTGTTGCGATGGATCGGGTGCTGTGAAATTGAGGATCTGAAGTTGGTGGCGACGGTGGTTGTGTGTTCTGCGTTGTTTTGACTGTGCATGTGGCGATGGTGGTTTTGGGGTGGTGATAGTGGTGTGGGGGAGGGTGGGGGAGGCAGTAACGAAGTGGTGGTCACAAATGCTGTGGGTGCTGTGATCAATAATTTGGTTGGTGGCGACCAATAAACAATATGTGACCATTGAATTAGATAAGATGTGACCAATACATGATGTGTGACCTAAAAATTATTAATTTGTGACCAATAATTTAATAAATTGTGACCTAAATATACATAAAATAAATAATGTGACTTATAATTTTGTGATTTGTGACTCTGTAACCGATGAACAAATCGTGATCTATGTAATTTTGAATCGTGACCTAAAATTTTTGGAATTGTGACCAAATTGCATAGATCTATAACTTAACATATTCGCCGAAGTTGGAACATTTGTCGGAATCACAGCAGTTGTCGCAATAAAGTGGCGGCGGAACAGTCATCGGAACCGTCGTCGGAATAGTCGCCGAAGAAGAGTTATGACCAGAACGGTCGTCGAAATAGTCCTCGGAGCTGTAGGGGTGGTTGAGGTAAGATGAGGTGGGGTGAGGTAATTATATTATATTAGAATTAAATATTTAATAATAAATTGATTTGTTAATTCATTATTTCATAAATAGAATTTTAAAAAACCCGATCTTTGAAATTTGGAACTTATTTTTGTATTTTTGAAATGGTATAAAGTAAATATCTGGAAAATATATTGTTCCCTTTTTTTTTTATTCTTTAATCACAACTTCTCTAACAAAATACTGTTTCAAAATGTATTTTGAACGAAAATGGGACGTGCTAAATACTAACTTGTGAATTGAACTGTTTTAAAAATGTTAATCCATGGACCCAATTCACAAAGCCGAGGAGGTCTCATGGATTGAAAATGTGCACGTATACAGAGAGAAGGAAGAAAAAAGTGAGGAAAACGAAGCCACATTTCCAAATCGATAGTTCCGACTGTAGCAGAGGCAGAGATTTGTTTGGGAACCTCCGTTCTCTTAGGAGAGCGAATAAGGCGTATCGCATGTATACTAATATTTGAATTATTGCGTCGTTGATTTGCGTTAAGGTGATATTAGAGAATTTAATAGACAGCGAGGCGATGGTATCTTGGAAGGATATAACAAGAGTGGTGAACGGGTTGTCTCTGGTGTCCCAGGAGGCCGTCCGCGGCTCTGAAAGCGGGGAATTGAAGTCCCTAATCAAGGCCGGAGTCCTCTCCGCCACCGACCTTGCGGGACTCACGAAGGGCAAGCTCCGCGGCTTCGATACATCCAATGCAACCGCCACCAATTCCGATGCCCTCAATAGAAATAATAAAGCTAGCGTTGTTCACTTCAGGGTTGAGTCACTTCCATCTCAGCCATCTTCAGATTCAAATGCTATTACTGCTGCCACTGCTCAACCCGTTGGTGCTCAGAATGCCTCAAAGGCAGATGCAGAGGCGGATTTGGACGCTGCTAACGACAATGCTCAAAGCGCTTCCCAATCAAATTCGAGCGACGTTATTGTCAGTGGGAACATCACTCCCCAACCGTCTCCAAAGAAGCTAAGGAAGCCCAGGGAGAGGAAAGTTCCCTCCACCCCTTTCTCCAGAGCGCTTGGGTGAGTCTAGCTAATATTGCCAAATCACTGGTTTATGTACGATTTTAATCCCTTTTCTTCCTTTTTGTTAGAGCAGAAAGTAAATTGTCTAGATAAAGAGTCAATACAGCTCAAGCACATTTGATATGTATGATTTGAGTAGTTTTTATTTTAATGAACAATTTGTTGCTCTAATCTCCAGTTATTTGTGTGATCCTCTCTATCTCTACTAACTCAAAGTATGCCTTCACTTACATAGTAGTACTACACATTTGTCTAAATGCACTCTCATGGTACATAAAAGCTAAAAAAGCTTAGAATTGTGCGGAGAAATTGTTTGCACCAGAAATTTCCTAAAGGATGCTGCTGCAAAGGATCCTTTGGCCACAAGATTGCTTGGAATTGATGGCTAATTTGTTGGATCATTGTTAGTGCATGTGGGTTGGTAATAATTTTACAATCACCTCTAGTCAAATATAGTTTTTATTGATAATAATTTTATAATCACTTTTGGTCAAATATACTTTTTATCCACACATTTTGTACGACGGACAACAATCATCCACTTATTACAAAACATATTCCGTAATACCTGCAACTTATAATCACTTAAATTATAATTTAATCACCAACCAAACGTGCTTTTAGTTTGCCCTAATGTATTTTGTTGAAATTATCAAATAATTCAAATTGTCCACTGTATGTATGACTCAAAAGATGGGACACTTCACGTGGCATGTCAGACACATGTCCAGATGTTTCCGGTGCTGTACATAATGCTACAACCCTGCCGGCACCTCCGTGCTTCTTCGGTTATTAGTTTGTTCTTACTAAACTTTGCCCACTTCTCTTTGCTACATTTGTTTTCATTTTGCAGTTTAATGTACCAACATCCTTTAGTTATTCAGACTTGTCTTCTTGGGGTAATGTACCCTTTTGGGACTATATATCCGAATTGATTATTTTATGTAGATTATATTTCATCTTGTTTTGATATGCATACACTGAAGGAAGCTACTGGTTGTAGAATTACATTTATTGAATTGACATGACCATGATCTTATTTTCTATATACAATTTCAAGGTTTGCTGGTCTTGGAGCTGGTCTAGCATGGGGCACACTTCAGGAATCTGCCAAGAGGATTGCCTTTGGTACACCTGTCTCGCTAAACAACCAACATGCCGTTTCCCCATTCTTATCTGAGAAAAATGCAGAACGTTTAGCTCTTGCATTGTGCAGAATGCGTGGAGCAGCACTAAAATTGGGGCAGATGTTGAGTATCCAAGATGAATCTCTTGTACCGGCTCCGGTATATAAATTTGAATGTATATGCATATATTTATGATGAATTATGAATGCTTTATGTTTAGATATATTATCTGTCTCAACTACACCTTCTTATTTCTTTTTTGTCAGGTAAAATATAGTCTTGAAAATTTTAAGTTATCATTTTTCTTGTAGTCTTTAAAACAACGAAGAATAAACTTTCTATACTTGGTGCAGGAAGGAAGTAAAGTAAAGGGGAGTTGACGAAGAATAAAGTTGTTCTTTTAGTTGTTATCTCAAGATGTTAGTCTTTGAAATGTTGGAAGTATCCTTTCTCCTTTAGTTTTTGTTTGGTTGGAAAGTTCCTTAGCCTGGAATGTGATTAGGAAAGCTAATGGAAACATGGAAAAAGAGAAGAAAACCAAAACAAAAGAAACATGCATTTGATTATTGGAAAGTTTGAAGGATAATTAGTAAACAAAGTATTAAGTTCGGCACATAATTTATGGAAACTTGTTCTCATAGAGAGTTTTATGGTGGACCATCCATTTTCTCTTGTATTGTCTATTGACAACAACCAAAAGAAATTCTGACATGGTTACTTTGGAATTAAATGATTTGTCTTCAGAAATATATTACTGTAGGGGCAAAGTCTGTGGAAAGAGGAAAGATGGATGGTTTGGGTGAGGGATAAAAAGTGTGATGGAAAAATAAGTGGTCCTTGGTCCTGGATGGTGAAAGGGGAGGTTAAATACATCTAATTTGGACATTGATGATTGATGAAGGATCTGATAATGAGCAAGGAGGGATTTGAGTTGACTTGGGCTTCGTTTCTCTCATTATTGATATTTAGACTTTCCAATCTCAGAACATAGGGATGGAATTGATTATGCATTTTAAAAAGGGAGAAGTAATGTCACGTTTTATGAATATACAATTAAAGGACCAGGATTGAAGTTCCGCTGGGAACTAAAGAGGCTTGAGTTTCTGGTGAAATACAATGGAAGGTGAAGCGGCACGGGAAATACTGAAGAGGTAAATATGTGAAAGGGAAGGAAACAGTTTATGGAAAATTGATATTTTGATTTTTCTGTGACCATATATTTTTTTTTTCAAGAGGGCTTTTGTTGTATTGACTACTCTCATATTTAGTTTTTTACATGGCTGCACCCCCTTTGGCATATAATCCTTGCTTAGAAACAAAAATTAGAAAATCAATTGAAAGTTTTCTTTTCCTTTTGAGCAAATCACATATCAATCGTGGTTTTAGACTATTGAAAAGGAAAAGTTAAGTAAACGCATCTTGGAAGAATATGATGCATTTTGGTCTATGTAAATGGTCTTTTACGGTGGAAGAATTGACTAAGAACATGGAGGATGTGGTATGACGGTGTATCCTTTCGTGGACAACATTATCTTTGTGGATGAGACCATAAGGAGAATCATTTTGAAATTTAAGTTGTGAGAAAGGCATTTTGAAACAAAATGATTATAAAGTTTCATGAAATTATCCCATGCTTGGTGTAAATTAAAATCAGATTTTTAATAGATTTTAATAAAAGTTGATGAAACGTGTGGTTTAAATGTTGTGCTTCCAATGAAATGTTTTTGTTAAAGTTAATTGTTAACTTTGACTTGAGATTTTAATTTGATTTTAATGCAAACCAGACAGGGACTCAACTCATGAAGAGGTCAAGGAGTCGTCTTAGAACATGAAAAATGAAGTTCTAAAAATAAAATAAGAACGCATCACATTTTTCCGATTGAGAACAAGTAAAAATAAAGAAAAGTCTTTGAACTCTTCGTAAAAGCCCATAAAGAAACTGGAACTTTGCTCTCTCCCATAGATCACCATGAACTTGTTCTTTCTCTTCAAAAAATCTGGAATTTTTCTGTTCCAACTACCAAAAAATTAGTCGAAATCCCAATGTTCCACGTAACATCATCCAACCTCTCTTCAGGTCAAAGCTTATAGGTTCAATAATAAATAGCCTGCTATACCATTCCAGGAAACATTTATCAAAGTAACAGTATCGTAGTGTAAGAATAAATGATTAGTACATCCCTCTTCCTCGTATACATCACACCCCTAGAAAGAGAAAGAGATAGATGAAGAATTTTTTTTGAATCTAAGTCATAAATATTAAGCCTCCCTTTCTTTTGAACTAAGTCTTCAGTATTCAACCTCCTTCAAAAAACTAGCGAAGAAGTACCTTTATTTTTGCCCTATTTGCAACTTGCGAGCTATCAACAACCAAATGAAGATTCTACTTCTACAGAGATTGAGAAGTAACCTGCCAATTCATGAATTATCTTAACCGACCTCATATCCCACTTTACCACCACCTCCCGACCGTCCTATTGAACATAACACGATCCACTCCTAAATGTTCTTTCTGCAGACTCCCAGCAAACATTTCCTTTAACAATTACTTCTTTGTTACCTGAAGGATTACAATGTCAGGATTAATTTTAAAAAAAGTCTTTAATAGCCCCTCTTTTAATTGCTGATCCTGTCCTCTCACATTCCAACTCACTATCTTCATTTTTCCCTAATAGAGCATAAACAAACTTGAGAGTTAGCTTCCTCATAAAATAAAACCAGAGCTGAAGATTTCATAATTTTCTTAACCCCCACTTGCATTTTACTTTGTTTTACCCATAAACCCCTTGCTTCCATGAGCCACCCCTATTCTTCATCTTAAAAGCACATGGAATGAGGTAATTAGAAGAAAGAAAGAATCTTTGCCTTTTAATTTGTGGAAGGTGCTTGGTAGGGTGAAATGGAAAAAGAGGACCCTTCTAGCTTAAACTTCTTGAGTTGAGTTCACGACTTTTGCCATAAAAACATTAATGAACCAGGACTTGTTTACAGTTCAATCCATGAATTTGGGATAAGAATCATAAATTCGGTGCTTTTTGGTTGTTTTTGAAGGGTCCCTGTAAGAAATTTAGTAGTTAGTAGGAATATTGGGGATGCCAATGGTTTTATGGTACACGTGTCTGAAGGAGCCTTGGGGATTTGTGGTTGGTAATGGGTGAAGGGTGAAAGTGATTGGTAGATGGTGTCTTATCTTGATCTTGGAGGATTTCCTCTTTCATTCAGCCTTAGTCTGGAATATTTGTTCAATGGCACCATAGTATTGGAAGTGGATCTTACATAAGAGTTACTAGAGTTAGGCATAAGGTTTGAAATTTGAATTCTAAAAGATCAGGTATTGTGGTTATCTTACTTGGGGAAAAGGTTCTAGGTTCTGGATTATGGTGCTTGGAAGAGGGGAAGATTAAAGAATGCGGGGTTAAGTACATGAGGAAACACTTTGTACATGCATGAGTTGATACATAGTGGCATGATAGAGTGGTTGAGGGATTTGAGTCTTGCATTTGACACTAAAGTGCTACGAGTTATGATATTGCCAATAAAGCTTTGGAGTGTGTTGTCTGTTTGCAGATGCTCGTAGGTAATGACCTAATTTTTCAGAGAAGATTGTGTAAAGTGGAGGGGGATTATTAGAAGTTAAGTTTTTCAATGAAGGTACATTTGAAATGACGGTGAACATGACAGTCTTAAACAAAAAACCTGAATGCTTGCATTGGCTTGGATCAAGGTCTTTGAATTGGTAACCACGAAATATCTTTTAGGTGCCCTTGTGCAACATATTAAAAGTGGCAGTCACAGTAATGCTACTTGAGCCCAAACTATGAAATGAAGATGAAGGAATAACCTGAATATATTTCCATTTTTATATTATCTGTCTTTTCTAAGAATTGATTTTTGTTATTTTAAGTCTTTTTCCCCGAAACTATGGTACCGTGTTTGTTTTAGGTTTCAGTTTAACTAAGGGAGCTCCTATGGTCTGTAGATCTTGGCTGCTTTGGACATTGTCCGTCAGGGTGCAGACGTGATGCCGAAAAATCAGCTCAATCAAGTTTTGGATACTGAATTGGGCCCCAACTGGTCATCTAAGTTGATGAGCTTTGACTATGAACCAATGGCCGCAGCAAGTATAGGACAGGTGATGCAGTTAAGCTCTACCACACTATTTTTTAGTGATTTCAAGCTTATATGTTGTATTTAACGTTTCATTGAGTCAAAAAGATATTCTAATACTAAATAGACCATTATGTGCTGTATGGCATTCTATTGGAAATATGTAGAGTGATAAACAAAATGACCCTTTATTTACTAATCTTAACAAACTATACTGATGTCATTCATGTTGTTTTCTTTTTTAGACCAACTTGTGTGTACTTCAAAAGTTCATCATTTTGCATTTGAATGCCCATGGATTCCATGCTCTTAATAAATTTAATGCAGAATCATGCTCGAACACACCTATACAGCTCAATTTCCAAATGCAGTATAAGACTCTTGCAATGCTGATTGTGGGACAAAATAATGTGCTTCTTTCTAACTGGGAGAAGATAGAAGGAGAAATATTGGAAATGTTACTTTTCGTATCCACACTCCTTAATTTTTGATAAAGTATATTGTGCTTGATGTGTGTACTCATCCAAATAACCTTGGGTGAATCTTTAGGAAGCCTTACTCTGATTTTATAATTTCAATGTTTTCTTTCGACTTGGTTTAGTTATTTCGTTCAAATATTAATAATATCTGCTTAAACATTAATGGGCCTACTGTAATTTTGTTTAAGTCTAAATAATATTTTTATCCCTCGAGGACTAATGTTATAATAGAGTTTTTGGCGAAGTTCTAGTCAATTAAACTACAATACTCGGACAAAAGGTAAAATACTTCTCATCTCATCTTCATTCTTTATTACTAGTAACTCAGAAAGTGAGTTTTGTTATATAATGATGTAAAAATCACAATTATATTTAATTTCTACACCAGTGAAATCTATTTATGTAATATAATTTACTTCTCTGATAAGTAGCATAAATTTATGAATTTTGATTATTATATAAAATTATAGTTGTAGAATAAATCATTTCACTCTAGTTCTCATTTCTTTCTTGTACTGATTTATATTCTTGTAATTCTTTGCCAACAATTATGTATTCAAAATTTTGATTGGCAAACTTTTACAAAATTAAGAATTTCAAGAAACCAATCATCAGATTGAGAAAATTTAGCTGAAACCGAGACAAGTAGATACTATGAATACTTATCACTAAATTCTGTATGAAATGAAATCATGGTAAATAGTGGTTTCATGATAAGGTCAAAATATATTATGTTCTTAAAATGAGGAGTATTACTTGCATCAAAGTTGAATAGTCCATATTACCGTATTCTTATTTCTTAAGTGGTCATAGAAACTGCTGAAGACGAAAATATTTCTTATTTATGAGTGTGGATTAGTTTCTACTCAATTGAGGGGGGAAATAATAGAGCGGGACTTCAATTTTATGAAAGTCTTGTTGCCTTGAAAATTGAAAGGCTGAAAAATAGGGATCCTTCTTTAAGTTGTTGATTGAGAAAGTTGGCTCTAGAATGATTGTTACTGACATGACAGAATTAAACGAGTAACTGAGTTGAGTGTCTCAAAGAGGGGTATTGAGTGTCAAAACCAAAAAGTACCTTCTTACTTCATAGACAAATGTGCAAATGTTGCTCTTATGGTTTCTCAGACATTTACCTTTTCATTTATGTTCATCTTGCACAAATAATTTGCTTAATGCTTTTGTGGATTCTACTCTGGTCAATTGCCATGCCTTTCTATCTCACACTTATAGAACAATTTTAGGTACACGGTGCTGTTACAAAGGATGGTTTGGAGGTCGCAATGAAAATCCAGTATCCTGGAGTTGCTGATAGTATTGAGAGTGACATTGAGAATGTGAAATTGCTGCTTACCTATACAAATTTGATACCAGAAAAACTATATATTGACAATGCAATGAAGGTAAACTGCAGATAAGCTGAAGCTTGACAATTCATCATTTTACTTATAATTTGCAGAATGGTGTTTATTCTTATGACTTTTGACACACTTAATGATCCTTTGATCAGTCCAGTAGCGAACACAGGCCTTGACATTTTGCTTCCAGCATGGTTCTTGTTTGTTTAGTTTAATCATTAGAGCTTGTCAGTGCTGTGCTTTGTAGCCTGGCCAAAATTTTTCTTGCTAGGATTACTAATCATGCTTGTTTTGTTGTTTCTGAGTCAAGTTTATTGTTTGACGTCAAGCTGAGCTTGTCTATTGGCAGAATGCCCAGCTTGTAATGTGACACATTCTCTGTATATTCTCTCCCAGGTTGCAAAAGAAGAACTTTCTCGCGAATGTGATTATGAATTGGAGGCCAAAAATCAGAAAAGATTTCGCAGTCTGTTGGCCAACATGAAAGGATTTTACGTTCCCATAGTGGTGGATAATTTATCAAGCAGAAGAGTGTTAACCACAGAACTAGTTCCTGGTAATCAAATTATATATCTATACTACCTTTTTATATGCAGAGGACAATGTACATTCCAGCAGTTAGAGAAGTATAACCTGCCTCCATAGGCTTTATTGGCACTGCCAATATAGATCCCTTACATTATTAACTTTAAAAAATCTGTTGATTTCATTACAAGTTCCCTACCAAATTAGTTATAATCTATAATTAAAAATTCTGAATTTCCTTCTTGCAGGTATTCCAATTGATAAGGTGGCATTGCTAGACCAAGCAACTCGCAACTATGTCGGAGCAAAGTTGCTTGAGCTTACTTTGAGGGAATTATTCATCTTTCGTTTCATGCAGGCACACTCTCCATTTCATTGCTTGATTGTTTTATTATTCCTTATCGTAGATTGTCACAGTTCCAATTTTAAATTTTCTTTTTTTTCCCCATGGAATTAATTAACTAAAACTGTCGTCTACATTTGTCTGATAATAGTTGCTGAAGTCCCAAATTCCTTAACATCTATTGATGCCATATTATCCAAGAACTCTGATTGTACCGCGTCCTACGTATAAAAGGTTTTGATACAAATATATGTAAATCCAAGACATCATTTTATATTGGACAATCTTATTTCAAAAATGTTCTAATGCTTTATTGATTTGACAATAGAGATTGCAAAATGGAAATAATTATAAGGTAAAAGGTGTGGCGTATGTGGCAATTGAAAATGACAAATGGAGAAGTCTTGAATTCTGGTACATAAAATGATGAGTACATCTTGAATAGTGTTCTGTTCATCCTTGCCCTTCCGTAGTCAAACAGTGAGTGTTGTCCCATTTGAAACTTTTGGGGCTATTTAGGCACTAAGAACTAAGACTGTGAGCGCTTTCTTGGAATCCTGGGCCCTTAAATGCTTTAGATATCACTATTCTTAGGGCTTTGTTCTGGCTTCACGATACCATACTCTACAACAAATTGCTGGGAAGTTTGAAATCTGCTGGGTCGCAATTTTCAACAGCAAATGATTTAGATCGATCTTATGATTTCCTCTTTAATACTCAATCATAAATTGCTGGAAAGTTTGATATCTGCTGGGCAGCAATTTTCTACAGCAAATGATTTAGATCAATCAATCTTATGATTTCCTCTCTAATGGATGATTTCTAGTTTTAGAGATTTTCATATTATCTCCAGATCAAACAATAGTGGCACAACCGAGGGTGACTGTTCCCAAGTGTTTTATTACAGTATTTTCGCTGTTAATGATTTTTAAGCTTCAAGTTAGTGAAAGGATCTGTTAAGACTTAATTTTTAAACTTAAAGTTAGGGAAGGACTTAGCGTGTGAGTACAATGTGATATCTCACTCTCTTTTCATGTTCTCATTTTACCTTCATTTTGAGCAGACTGATCCTAACTGGAGCAACTTCTTATATGATCATGCGGAAAAGTCGATCAATCTCATAGACTTCGGCGCAGCAAGGGACTTCCCAAAGCTTTTCGTGGATGATTATTTAAGAATGGTAGAACGTCTTCTCTCTGCTCTTGAATTTTGTGTGATCCAGGATTGTCCAAGTAGGTAGAAACCCAATTGATTGATTTCTAATTTTGCTTCTGTAGCAGATATCTACATGTTCTTGTTCCTGTCGGTCTGAAATTTCCCTTTTTCCTGGAATATATCAACTCAATTTTCTTTCTGGATTTGATGTAATTGCACCCTGCAATACTGCATTCCCCAAAATTTGATAGCTTCACCCTCCTGTTGTAGTCAACTTCAGAATTTCTTTGCACCTTGTACTATTACAAGAATATACTGAGAGAGAACTCTTTATATTATTGAATCAGGTTGTTGCTTGTGCAAATGGTGACAGAGAAGCAGTAATTGAGATGTCAAGAAGACTTGGTTTTCTTACAGGGATGGAATCTGAAGTTATGTTAGAGGCTCATGTTCAGGCTGGTTTTGTTGTGGGTTTACCATTTGCAAAGCATGGAGGGTATGATTTCCGGTCAACCAATATTACTCAAAGCCTTTCAAACCTCGGGGCAACAATGTTGAGACACAGACTGACGCCTCCTCCAGAGGAGGCATACAGTCTTCACAGGAAGCTTTCTGGTGCTTTCCTTGCTTGCATCAAGCTTGGGGCTATTGTACCATGTAGGGAACTTCTGCTTCAAGTTTATGAGAACTATCACTTTGGTGAAGACGGTGATGAAATCTTGTCAAGAAGTTCATTTTCATGATTGTGATCTTTGCAATTTAGACTTAATATTAAACCCATGAAACAATTTTGAGATGCAATAGGCATCATGATCATCAATAATTTTTTTACGCATGATTAGATTGAGGATGCCATACACTTGGCTGAGACAGAATAAACATTTCTATGGAAACTAAAGAGCGGATTTTATTATTGAAATAAACTTTGGATGCTGCAAGATGTGCAAATGAGTGTAAGTTTGTTACCTCATATTGCTCGTCCTATTGTTGAATTGCGGTAACAAATTCATGATAATTTATTCAGAATATGAATTTTCTTATCTTCTCAATTTTTGTTTTAACTGAAATGATTTGCACCGAGTAAAATTTATTTTTTAGAGAAAATTAGGCTCAAATGTTTTACTATTTCGAACTATCAAAAAATAGACCACCATGTGCAATCACTCAAGAACTCGTCTTGTCGGCCAGTGAATTTGTGAAGATTCCAAACCCTACGATCAACAC